TGGACCAGACGGATTTACAAGCGAATTTTATCAGACATTTAGAGAAGAACTGTCACCAATTCTATATAAACTATTTCAAAAAATGTGTTTTTAAGCATGGTCATCAATTTAAAAGTGTGCGACAATGTATTAAATATCTAAAGAATTAGTAGGTGGAGAGCTTGTGAGATTTTAAATAATCATTTAAATTAAATGATATAGTCATTTAGCAGGGAAAGCACTTTAACTGTGTCTGGTCGATTCCGACTTAAAAGAACCATGTAGAACAGGGTAGACCACCCATAGGATTTCCAAGGCTTTAAATCTTTAGAGAAGCTCCTATCTCCTCTCTCTGGTTAGAGAAGCTCCTGTCTCGTCTCTCTCTGGTTAGAGAAGCTCCTACCTCCTCTCTCTGGTTAGAGAAGCTCCTACCTCCTCTCTCTGGTTAGAGAAGCTCCTGCCTCGTCTCTCTCTGGCTAGAGAAGCTCCTATCTCCTCTCTCTGGTTAGAAAAGCTCCTGCCTGTCTCTCTCTGGTGGAGCACCTGCTGGGTTTGATGGCTGACCTTTGATTAGCAGTTGAATTTTCTTACCAAGATGCCTGGGATCCTTAATGGCTAATACACCTGGGAATGAACAGCACAGCTTTTTTGTGGAGCACCATTGCCTTTGTGGAGCCCACCACTTTCTGATTTATCTAAAACAATGAACCCTTCAAGGGCCAGGCCCGGCCTGTCCATCCACATGACGCTCTGCAAAGTCTCCTCTTGGGCTGAGAGGCTCACAGACCTCCTCTTCATTGTTGCTCTTATTCCTAGTACCTTTTGTAAGCTGGGATTCCTTACTTGCCATGCTCCTGTGCAGGTTGGTTGTCTGACTCATCATATGGTTTTGCTCCCAGGTGTCAGCTGTGGAGTATTTGGAGGGCCCCCTGCTCCAGGTGGAAGGCCTCAGTGACCTCCGGCTGGAGCTGCACAGCAAGAAGATGAACTTGCACCTGGTGCTCATCGATGAGCTGCACCGGCACCTGTACATCAAGTCCACCGGGCGGGTGGTGCAGCGGAACAAGGAGAAGGGGAGATTGAGGTGGGTCATGGGGGCGGGGGAGGAGATTGAGGTGGGGCCGGGTGCCGGGTGGTGCAGCAGGACAAGGAGAAGGGGAGGATGAGGGGTGTCGGGGGCCTGGGCTGGGTGGTGCAGCAGACCAAGGAGGGGGGAAGGATGCGATAGGCCAGGGACCCACCGTGGCAGGCCCTGGTGGTAATGGGTTGCTGGAAGGAATCATCCTTGTTTTCCATAGTACTCTGTTGTTGATTTGTTTTTCCTTCTAAATGTATTATCTCTGAAACTTGAAGATGATTTTAGAAATGCTCCATATTCTAAAGGGCCAACATTCAAAGTTTGGTTATTCATTCTTCGGACATTTATTTGAGTCCTTTAACATTAGAAAATTAGAAGACACGTTACTCTGCACCTCCATCAGACTAAAGCAGGGACTCTGGCATATCTCAGAAGAGCAACTAAAATCCGAAACCCATTGCTATCAAGTCATTTCGTACTCGGGAAGACCCTCCGGCCAGTGCCGGCGGCTGTTAGTCTTTGCTCATCTTTCTGTCATGGAGCAACTGTTGAATTCAGATGCCAAATATGTGATCTCAGAAGGAAGCGAAAATCCTTCACTGCATAGTGAAGCCTAAGAAACACAGTCGCAGGAAGTGAGGTGCTAAGATTCTTTGTTACTGAGAGTATGTGGAGTGTCAGGCAGCCTACTTCCTGGAAGAGTTCAGGACTGGTTTGGGGAGAGCCCTTCCTTTCCTGATTGCTATCCCTGGACCGATGGCAGCGTCAGCCTCCGAGGGCCTGGGTGCCATCAAAGCTCTGGTAGTGCAGTACTTAAAAGAATTCAGCTAATAAACCAGAAGGCCAGCCGTTCAAATCCAACTCCCAGTCCATAGGAGAAAGATGTGGGAGTCTGCTTCTATAATGTTTATGACTTTGGGACAATTCTACAGTGTTGCAGGGCCACTCTGAGTCAGAATGGACTTGTCAGTAGTATGTTTGGTACTTTAGGTGAACTCAAATTCATTGAGTTATTGCAGACTTTTAGAGAATTCAACTACCTGTTAAGATAATGGAACACTGGAGTTACTGCCATACGTTAGATAGCGGTGCATGAGCTGTGCCCTTCCCACATATTATTAAATTGCTGTAAGAGCTTTTCACAGGGCATTTTTGCACAATCTACTGAAATACATGCAGCTATACGTTTTTATCCAGCTCTAGACAAGAGCACTGGACACAGTGCATTCTGGGAATGAACTCTTTCAAACCTTGTCCAGCTTGAAGAAAACATGCTAGAGTTTTCCGTTTACTTAGAGATCTTTGACAGAGAAAGGGACATTCCTACTTGTCTTTACTGGAAAAATTTCTCTCAGGCTTACAGAGAATGAGCCCAGGATTGTGGAAAGAGCCTTAAGTGAAAGACTTCCCATGGCTGTATTACCTGCCTAGAGCATTTATGCATAGTGTACATGTGTGTGTAACACAAGATAGAGCGCCTGCCAGCACCTCAGTGTGAAGAGAGAAGTGGAAGTGGAGACCTCACTAAGGCTCATCCTGTCATAGTGTCTGATGGTACAAAGCAGGTCTAAGCCGGTTTCTTTCTGTTCCACGATCAGTGATAATGGCATTATCACCATGACTTCTTTAAAGATACCCTGTAGCATAAAGAGAAATGAATATTCCTTTGAGATCTTAAAGAACATGGATTGGGGAAAAAATATTATAAATGAAGATAAACATTTGGAATCTGGAGTCTGAGGTGAGTCTGATCCATCCAGATTATGGTCTTTGCTTACTATGTGTCAGAGAACTGGACAGTGACTAAGGATGATTGAAGAAGAATTAATGCCTTTGAGTTGTGGTGCTGGGGAAGAGTGGTGAACATACCATGGACTGTCAGGAGAACAAACAGATCTGTCCTGGAAAGGGTAAAATCAAGCTACTCTTTGGAGGCAAGGATTTTGAAGTTCCGTCTCACATACTTTGGGCATGTGGCCAGGCGGGATCAGTCCTTGGAGAAGGACATCATGCTTGTAAGGGTGGAGGGACAGCATAGGAGAGGAAGGCCCAGGATGAGATGGATTGACTCAGTGACTGGAGAAAAGGTATTAGGTCTGTCGGAGATAATGAGATTGGCTTCGGATAAGACAGAATTCAGAGCTATTGTACAGTCACTATGAGTCCCATGTGACTTGGCACAACAAGATAAAAATTTAGGAAAGTTAAGCTCAGGATTTTTCAAAAGCTATAAAAACCATGATGTGTCAGATAATGGTCCAAAATACTCATCACTCCTTCCCCCTCCTTCGGTGGGAGAAGTGTATCTCCTGCTTTATGATCTTTGGGCTCAGCTCAGTCATTTGCTTTTGCCAGTCTGTAGCAGATTTGACACAAAGAGAGGCTTGAAATATGCTTGCCTGGGTCGCTATGCCCCTTGTGCCTCTGCCATGGTGGTGATGGTCCTGGGAGGAGGCGGCGAGACATGTAGAATGCAGCCAAGATCAGCACAGCTGCCCAGCCTGGACCAGTGGACCTCCAAACGTGTGCTTCTTTGAATGTCTGTGAGATTTATGAAGCAAGCATAGAGCTTCCATGAAATAGTGATGGGTACATGAAACTAAGGGAGTGAGGGGATGACAGAACTAGTTCAAATATGGATGGACAGCATGCAAGGAAAACCAAAGTGACGTCAGAAAATGTCCTCTTTGTTTGAAGCATTAGAAATAAGAGTTGAATCAGCAGTACAGAGGAAACATGCTCCATTGTGAAGAGGTCAAATCCAAATGATGAAAATGGGTAAAAATGGAGATGATTGATTATTGCAGTGGTTTTAGGTGTTCTCTGAAACTGGAACGAGAGGACCAGATACGATAATTTCGCATTCCAGTCACCCATTATTATCAATGCATCTTGACTGCATGTTCGATCGATTTCTGACTGCAGAAGTTGGTAGAAATCTTCTATTTCCTCGTCTTTGGCTCTAGTTGTCGGTACATATATTCACTGGACTTCCTTGTGTGCATATGGATTTTATGACTGCTAGGAGAACAAACAGGTTTGTCTTGGAGAGGGTGAAACCGGGCTGCTCCTTGGAGGCAAGGATTCTGAAGCTTCGTCTGACATAGGTTGGACACATTCCAAGTAGGGAGTGGTGCTTGAAGAGGGACATCGTGTTTGGGAGGGTGGATGGACAGCACAAGAGAGGATGACCCTTGATGAGATAGATCATTCATTAACTGGAATAATAGGATTAGGTGTGTTAGAGACAATAAGGTTGGCACAGGATAGAGCAGAATTTAGGGCTGTTGTACATAGGGTTGCTGTGAGTTGCAAGCAACTTGATGACACATAAAAACAACAACAACATTGCAAATAGTTCTTCATTGCAAAGAGGGTAAATTAGTTCAGATGAAACAGAAAAGAGATTTATTGGAACGTCATCAGCTCGGTCACAGACTCCCTGGGCAGGCCACAAAACCAGACTCTGCAACTGTGAATGTGGACGAGCACAGGAAGGGTTAGCTTGGGATGCAGTCCCTGCTGGCTCCTCACCTGTCATTGCTGGGTTTGTGGTCCACTGGGTCAGGAGTTGAGTTGTCATTAGAGAGGCAGATGGTTGGAATCTCAGCAGTCTTCTCTCGTGCAGTTTTCAGCGTCTAAAAACCACTGGAGGATCAGCTGTGAATTGATTCTGACTTGTTGAAAATGAGTTCTTGTGAGTAAAATCTGAGTTTCCCTGCATCTGTCTGTATCTTATTAAGATTCAGAGTCTTGGGTGGAAGCATCAAGTGTGATGAGCCTGGGTCATTTTTCACTTTATTGGTCTCCCCTAGTTCAAAGGAGTACTATCCTTTTTACTTCGATAGTAGGAATTCCTTCCACGTATAAACACTATTGAGTGGTTGGTCTACAAAAGTAAGCAAACAAAAACCCCAGCTACGAAATTGTGCTGCAGGAGGAAGCGAACGGAGTTGCCTTGAAAGCTCAGACCTAGAAGATCAGACACTTCATGGGAGTAGAGAGTAGACAGTAGACTTAGTCAGTGAAAGGGTTTGTGCCTACATGGAGAATAACCGAACTCTCACTTAAAGGTTTTGAACGCCATCTAAATAGATGTTGAGCTCTTCCACAGTCCTTCATAATAATATACAGAGCTCTTAAAGGAGTCACTCTAATTAAATCCCAACAGTTTCTGAACTGCACAATTCAGTCTGAAGTTCACGTGGAACAAGAAATGTCTGGGAACTGTTAAGAAACAATAGAGGAAGAAGACTATGAGGGAGACTTCTTGTTTGATGGAACAGTGTGTTATGAAGCTCCTTTCTTCACACCATCACACCAGTGCTGGTGTGTGTGTGTCTGGATATATGGGATAAATAGAGTAAGGAAACAGATCCCCATGTTAATGAGAGGCAAGGATGGTGAAGCTTCATCTCACATCTTTTGGGCATGTCATTGGGAGGGGCCAGTCCTTGGAAGTCAACATCATGCTTGGAAAGGTGAAGGGTCAGCAAAAGAGACTCAATAGGATGGATCGATAGAGGCTGTAACAGTGGGTTCAAGTATATCAGAGATTGTGGGGATGGCAGGATCAGGCAGGCTTTGGGTCTGTTCATAAGGTCCCTATGAGTTGTCAACGACTTGACAGCACTTGAGAACCACAAAAAAGTTATATAAAGCTTTGTTGTTTGTGTGCCATCAAGTAGGAACTGAGGCACAGCTGACCCTCCAGTGGGTTTTTAGAGGCAGCTAGTCTCACAAATGGAGATTGCCCCCTTCAGCCTGTGCAGCACGTGGTGGGTTCCAACTGTGTACCTTCAGGATTGCAGCACAGCTTCTTACCACCAGAGCTCCCTACAGAAAGCTTTAGTACCTGTAAAGTAAGAAAATATTCTTCAAACTAATAATAAAAAGACAACATAGCACTCAATAGAAAAGTGGGCAGAAGCTCTTTTTAACATAGATTAAGAAGGCAAAGTAGATAATGAACATGAGTATTCAGAGAAATTCAAGTTTAAAATGAC